CTGCTTCATCCAGTTGTTGAAAATCAGTTCTAGCAATGGAACAAAAACGGGCGACTGCCTCAAGTAAACTTGGAAGACCATTTAGTCCCAGAGATTTATCCAGGTCAACCTGTTTCAGCGCTTCCCAGATTTCCGACTCTGTGATGGGAACCTCGCACCCAGCCGTTTCAGCTGCCTCAGGATAGGGAAAGTCGGCTAAATAGACGTCGAACTGAGCAGGGCTCAGATTGGGGAAAAGTTCCTGAAAGTAATCTCGAAAGGCCTCGCATACGCCCGCGTTTGTAGTCACGGTCCACTTATCCGGCATTGTGAAGCACGCGATATGTCGCCGGGACGCGCTCCGATTCTCCTCTCCGATTCTCTTTTTAACCTAGCCCTAACTACCAGAATTTGATCCTTCTTGATAAGCAAGGAGGACTACTCTGCCTTAGCTATAACTATTGCCCCACTATCACGGGATTTCACTGCCCGATCGACTTTTACTTCTAAATCCGTTTGCGCCGCTAATCTATCTAGATTGAGTCGACGACTTAAATTGGCAGTAAACGTTCTAATTTTTCAATTTAGTTTATCCCACCAGGCGTTTCCAACAACCGACCCGCCAATTCCCTCTGTATCATTAGTAAAAGCTGGTCCCGAAAATCCTGCTCATCAAATGATGAGCAGTTTAATTTCCAGTAGCCAGCCAACCTTACCTTAGGCCTATCTAAGTTTACACGGACCCGGACAGGCCTATGATCCGAATAAACTATGTAATGGAAGTTTGGAAACCCTAAGAGTCCTACATCGATTTTCCTAACTAAGACTCGGTCGAGGTAGCAAGAAAGCACCCCAGGAGCCAAGCTGCCACTATTTGTCGAAGTCCAAACTACCTCCCGAGGGTGCTCATTCCGGTACTTATCGACAAGAGCAAATCCGTCGATAAAGTCCCGAAATGGTTTCACGTCCCGGTTGTTAGTACCCTATGCGATCTATATCGGGGTCAAAGACGGCTTTCCAATCCCCCGCTAAAACTACCCGACGTGATGTCGTCAAGAACGGCTCGATCTGCCGAAACAAATCAGGCCGCTCAGAATGGTTATTGGGCGCATAAACTCCAATGAGACGCAGAGCCTTATCCTTTATGGTAACATCCAGCACGCAAAGCTTGCCCGCTGTATCCGCGAAGAGAAGAGTACACGCAGCCTTCAAAGACTTGCTCACCAGACAAGAGACACTTCCAGCATGACCATATACTTGCTAACCAGAGAGCCATAGAGGAAACCGATTAGGGTTGCTTTCCTGAAATGAACATGGACGAGGTAAGGATACTGACCGCCTCCCCCATTGACCCATGGCCCATCTCAGTCTTGATTTGCCGTCTTGGGAGAGGCCGCCTATATCCCAAGGGAAAGTCAATTTGAGTGCTCTATAGAGGGAAGGGTGAACAAAAACTGGGGCCCTCCCGGCACAAAATTGTTTCATTTTTTCAATTTTTCGTTTTGTGCAATGGCAATTGGTGGTGATATTTTAAAAGAGGCTATAGCTTCATCGAGCATGGCCCAAGTCTGTTTCGCCCCCATTCCAGTTCTTATGACTGTAGTCACTCTTTCGGCATTTGGGAAGTTTTTAGGATCTTCGGTGTCCTTGCCCGTAAAATGTTTTATTGATAGAAGATATTTTAAGTCCTTTATCCTATTGCCGTAATCACGTGCTTATCGGCTTCTGCAGGGGTATATTTTTCAAACATCTTCGCCAGAGTTGAGTATATGTTTTTGTCTTTTCCTTTTTTTCTGCTGAGTCCTGCGTAGGGACTTGTTTTGGGGAGGGGAAGTTTCCGGGGTTTTCATTGGGAAAGGACTGGAGGTGTTGCGAGGCGTATAAGATTGTCCAGAGGGGCTGGGGTCTCTACTGAGAGGGGTTGAGGGATGGAAAGAATGTGATAGGTCAGAGGATGTGAAGGCAATGGCCTTTTTAGTAGAGGAGGAGATCTTGTGCTGAAGGTGGAAGGCTGGGAAGATTTTGCTGAATGTGGAGCAGTGGATGTGGAAGGAATAGTCTTTTTAGTGGGGGAGGATTTTGAGATCCGTTGTTTGTCTAGATTTTGTTTTAATTTTTTGAGTTATTCTGTTTTTTTGAATCCAGGATCATATTTCTTTTTAAGTTCTTCTAAGATCGGTTTTGAGGCCGGGCGTCGCCCTTACTGTTGCTTCTTCTCTGGGGAGGAAGAGGAGAGGTGACCAGTCTCTCCACACTTCCAACAAACTGGTTTACGGCCGGTCACTATGACCGGCAGCTCCAGTTGGGGATGGAGATGAAGGCTTTGCGGTCCAACATGATATCAAAACTCCATCCCCCAGTCAGGCTATCGCAGGAAGCACCCAGAATTTCTCCGTACTGAGACAAGAAAGCCGCTATACTGCTATACTGGTTCTTCTCTTGCCTTCGTACTCTGTTCAGAGTATCAGATCTTTTGTGATTAATTCTCGGCTAGTTTCTTTTACGCAATCTTCCGCAGTGGGTAACAGTACGACCCACATCAAAAAGCCTTTGCCCTTAACATTTCGAAGTGGCTTAAACCCCATGGAATGTAATATTTTAACCACTGTGTCTTTCGTCGAACGACAAGTTTTGCGCATACGCTTGTCGACGACAAAAATCGACACCATTCTTTTTTCGATCTTCTTAAGTTCAATGGGGTCCTCAAAGAGCCCACCTTCTACTACAAGGTGTGCGTAATGCTTGGCACGCTCCAAGAACTCCGCAATATCGATGATGCATTTAAGTGGGGACTTCCAACAACAGGGCGAATTCCCGGCCTCAGCGGTTTACTGGTCGTGTCTTTTTGGCCATTCTTGGCCTCCATATTATTGTCTAATTTTTTGACATTATTGGCCACCGAACTCTTTTGGGTTTTTTGGGTATGGTCATTTTTGGCCTCCGTACTTTTTATAACTGGTTCACTACCAACGGACTCCTCACTAGAGGATGAATAATTTAGCAGTGGGTATTCAGTGTTGTCCTTGTCAGGAGGTTCTTTATTTGGATTAAATAAATGTTTCCTGACCGACTTTCTAAAGTCGGCCATTTTTTACTTCCTTTTCATTATTAAAAAGGAAGGTATTGTTTTTTTCTTCTTTTCCATTTCTTTTAAAGGGGAGGGGTGCAAAAAAGTAAAAATTAATTGATAAGTTTCGGCTATAGGCGAAACTAAAAATAAAAGGATAATTAAATCACACAAATATATAAAAACATTTGGACGTGCAAAAGACAAAACCTTACGCAAAATACAGACGATATAAAACGTTGAACTTAAAAAAGGCGGACAAAAATTAAATATACAAAGCAATCACAAATTTCCTTTAAAAGAACTATACAAAAAGGTTACACGTACGAAAAGGTATTAAAAAAATACAAGAAGAAATTCAAACAACATTAAAATAATACAGTAATAAGACTAGAAACACAAAGAACGATCGAGAAAAATACGAAACTAACAAATGAACAAAATCAAAATATGGCCACTGAAAATACCAAGTCAGCTCGTTAACGACGAAAACAATATGGAAAAAACGGACAGATTAGACAAAAATTACAAATACAAGAAAATTAAAACAAATATGTACACAAAAGATTTAACAAGGGTAACACAGAAGACTTATCGGATATTTAAAAAAAGAACGAAAAACAAAGAACCAGACAATTATTGGCCCTCCAGTCTCTCAATGCATTAAAAAAAATTAAAATTGTCTTTATCTAACAAATATCCACCGTGTCAATATAAACAACAATCAAGAAAGCAAGCAATATCGATAGAGTGACATTGAATATGAGCCAAAATGACAACATTTAATAATTAGCAATTACAAACAGACGAAAGCGATTAGAGTTTTGTCCTCACTTCGTTGGTTTTTTGTTTGTTTGTTTTGTGTGATTTTTTTTTTTTTTTTTTTTTTTTGCTCTCAGTTGTTACGTGTAACAAACTATTTGTCTTATTTTATTAGATAATCAGATCAAGGGAAAATTCAAACCGTTAAATACAAACCGGCTTTTTTCATGTCGGACAATTTTATAGATTGCATACACGCTGAATTTGAATAAAATTATCGTTATTTTCAAAAATCAATTATCATTATTTTAATAATCAGAAATGAGTGTAAGGAGCATTTGAATTTCAATTTCATTATATCTCTTAACAGAATATTTCCCAAGTAATTTTATTAAGAATCCTTATGACTATGACTCCATCTATAGTGATTCTCCGTTTGAAAAACGGAGTCTTAATAAATGTAAACTATTCAATGTATGCTTCCTTTAATGATAATTATTTTCCCACTTCATCCATACAATATCATTTAATTCATAATCTATAGTCAGAATTTTGACGTATTGCTATTTTCACATGCCATAAGAGAATGTCCCTTTTCCTCAAGTGAGAAAATTGCATCATTATTTGTATAAACTGATGAAAATTGTTTGCAATGACATTCTTACAATATCCCAGTTTTAATCCTGACATCTACCAGTATCAAGAGGATTTGCAATATTGAAATTTTTCCCCTCTCATTCTTTATCTGTCTCTATCTTTCTTCTTTCTCACTTTGTCATTGTCTTTCTCTTTTTTCCTACTTTCTCCTGTACTTTTTCCTTTTTTCTCTGTCTTTTCCCTCTATATTCTCTGTCTCTTTCTTCCGTCTTTCTTTCCTCAGCCACTCTCTTTCTGTCCTTTTTTCTCTCTTTTTTTTCAATAATCCTCTTTTATTCCCTTGTTTTCACTCTCTAACTTCTTTGACTTTCTCTTTCCTTACTCACTCTGTTTTCTGTACACTATTTTTATCCATATCTCTTTTCTTTCTCATTTTATCTCTTTATTTTTCATTTTCACTTTCTCTCTCTTTTCTCAATGTCTCTATTTGCCCTCTATCTTTTCCCTTTCCTTCTCTTTCACTTTCTCCAAAATATACTTTTTTACTATAATTACAATCACAGACTTAGCCTTTTCCTTATTCATCTTTTCATAGTCTTCCTTTTTATTGTCTTTGCTTTCTTTATCCCACTTCTTCCTCTCTTTCCATCTTTGTCAATCTTCTATTGTTCCTATTTCCGTCACTTCCTTAACTTTTTTCTTGATTCTGTTTTCCATTGATATTCTTTGCCTTCTTTCCTTCTATTCTCTCCTTTCATTCCTCTTCTTTCCACATTTTTTTGTTTTTTGTCACCTATATTTCGAACCAGTTATATTTGCTTTCGCATTGTCTTCTTTTCTGACTAAATTGTTCGTTTTTTCTTTCTTTTTTTCTTTTTTTTTTAGTCTTGCTTTTTATTTTTATGACCTTTTTAATTTTCTTTCCTTCCTTACCTATCATTTACTTATCTTTAATATTCAAACTTTTCTTTTTTATTATTTATTTATTCTTTTTCGCTTCTTTCTCGCTCTCGGCACCACCACCTTATTCTCTTTTTATTCCTCTCTCTCTCTCTCTCTCTCTCTCTCTCTTCCCTTTCCCTCCTTCTTTTGTTTTACTTCAACTATATCCGCACATATCTCAACTATTTTCTTTTCAAATTTTCCTCAATAATTTCGAAATTTTATATTTTAATATATTTAGTGCTTATATTTTTGCAAGTTATTTCTTGTATTTATAAACGTATTTTAACTTAAACACTATCTTCTCAGTCAATCTATCAAAGCGTCAAAACATATCGAAAATTTACATATTACCCTACGTATTATACAATGGTTTTTGCCCATTTTGAAATGTAAAATATATATATATATATATATATATATATATATATATATATATATATATATATATATATATATATATATACCATTGGTTTCAACGACAACCTCCGGACGACTTCGGATTGTCCTGCAACTTTTCTGGACGGTTTTTGTATTCAAGTTGGTGAATGCTGCCATAATCCTTCCTTCTTTTCATCTTTGGTGTTACAAGGAGTTTTGTTGGTCTCTCGATCAACTATACCCCACACATAATAATCGTTGGGGTGGCTGTCTGGGGTGTTAGGTGGCCAGATGTAATGGATGATGTGGTTACAGAAATAGTCTGACAGACATGACTGAGTTTTCTTTTTTGTGTGTCATGGTGTAAAGTCCTGTTGCCAAAGGGTCTTCTAGCAGCCACCCTTTTTACACGACAATCACTACCTCCTCAAGGCATGTTGAGTCTAAGGGACTGTGTGAAGATCAATAAAAGCATAACGTCTGCATCACTAGTGATTACTCCAAACATTATGATGTTGACTGGATATATCATACAACTCTTTCTGAATCCTCTGCACTATCCTTAGATTGACACCCAAACACACTGAAATGTCCGTATTTGGTGATATCTGCGCGTATGCCAATCAGTACAATATGCCGTTTCCAAATTTCAGGCGGACTTTTTCCTCCAGACGGTGCTCAACTGACCCTATTATACTGTTCAGTCGACAAAATCAAAAACCAACAACGCGTGTGCGCGAAATTAAAAATATAAAATGACGACAGTTTACCTATCGCACCCTGTAAAATCAAAAGAAGAAAAAGATATGATGAACTTATTGTGGGTTAGTAACAAAACCTTTTTAAAAATTGAATCGACATCACAGAATGTTAAAAAAGAAAGAAAGAAACGGAAAACAATAGCATGATGAGAACAATACAAAAGTTATTTTTAGAATTTAACAAAAAGAGATTTGAAAAAATAGATAATAAAATGAGATTGATCGAAAAACAAAATCTGATGTTGTGAAGGTAACCGGAAAGAAAACATTAAGAACCTGAGATAAAGACATAAAACTACCATCGTATAGAGAAACATGTAAGTTGAGAAAAGTCGATGACAATATATTACTCAAAATTATAGTTTTATGAGCCTATATCAAGTTAGAGTTGATGAAGCAGATGGCTGAATTGAAGGATAATCCATCTTGGAAATAGCCGACCAATACGACTCAGAAGACAGCATCTGTGAGTTGGAATGATACTTAGATAGTATTAATAGCAATAAAATTACTGATCCATTCAAAAGACAAGATAAACACCAACGATTGTTGTAAGTTTTTGGACAATAATAGAAGTTGCAAGCAAAAAGAATTATATAAGTATTTTAATTCAAGCTGGCCATTGCCCATGTTACCAAAATGGTTTAAAGATGTCAAAATAACGCCATGTCATCTAGTATTTCTCCACAATATCCTATCCAATAAAAAAAAATGTAATCCATCATTAAAACTGATATGTAAGAGAATGGAAAACAATATTCACACAAAGATCATAAGAATAGCAAGTAATCGATGCAAGTAATTCTAAAATCAAAAAAGTAGAAAAGTTAAGAAAGACTGAGGAAATTTATAGAATTTCAACAAAAGGATATTCAAATGTAAAATAATAATTTATTGGAATATATGAAATATTGCGTTAACCAAATATATATTTCTATGGCCTTTATCCTTTGGATTTATTTTTTTAATAAACATTTATAATGAAATCTGACACTTACAAAACAGTATATTATCAATTGTTTTAATAAGTATAGCTATTAGAAGTTGAAAAGTATGAAATATATTGCTAAAAAACATAAAAGTTTATAAACATTGGTTCTAATCAATTTTATTGGGAAAACATTAATTCATATAAAAAAATTTAATTTAGTGAGTTCCATCGTAATTTACGGCATTCGTAGACAAGTGAAAATATATGATAAAACGAAAAATGTTTCAAATTCAAATGCTGAAAGTCTTCAGATATTTTAAACAAAACCTACAGTTATTCCAAAATGAAAAAAAATATACACAATTTTTATAACAGTCAGAGGTTGGATGAAAACCAACAAGTCAAATGAAGAATCCAATAATTATCAAACCAATATTTACAAGTCGTATAAAGAAAAATGTTTATTCAGTCTCTGTCCTTTTTCCAACACACAATACAGATAACTAGCAGTAGAAATTAAAAACGTGTCATTTGAAACAGTGGATGACTATTTTAAAATCATTGCCAAACGACAGATATTATTTTTGAAGATTTATGAACAGGCACGTTTTGTTATTTCATTTAAAGCATTTAAAATGTAATGGTTATTTGTGGCTAATTCTTTAAATATGCCTAATGCTTAATGCAATTCCTTTTATTAGCAAGTTTGCTAACATCTAAATGTTTCAAATAACATGATACTGTCATGATTTCGTTGTATTCAGCGATTTCAATCATTTGCATTTATTTCCTAATTCTGCTTTCATTTTACAACACAATCAGAAATGCAAAGTTTTTCTATTCACTTCTACCCGACAGGGAATAACAGGAATAAAAACAAAGATTCCAAACCGAAAACTTTCCCTGCAGCGATGAATTATTTTAATGAGAAATTTTCTGATTGTAGTTATCTTGCATTATAGAATGGACATTCTTATTGCTACGGTTAAATCCACTGATAGGCTAATTCTTTTATTATTATTTCAACAAACAATTAGAAATAAAATAAGATAATATGCATCCGCTAATTTTATCTTACTCTCTCATGAACACAATGACAGGTTTTGTTGTCAAAATAGCAATACCTTCTTGAAATATATTTCTGTTCATATTATGATGCGTGGTTTTGGTTTGTTTGTTTTTTTACGACTGGGAAAAGAAATCCAAAAATGTAATAAATCAAATATAAAATATCGAAGATTTATACATTTTGAAAATAAATAAGTCATTCTTAATAATCAAATAATCAGATGGCCCGATTGTAAATGGGGTTCACAGAAGAATGGAACTTTTAAATAGATTGTCTTTTAAATAATATTATCTTATATTTAAAGAAATGACATCTGCCATTGAAAAATCAACAGAGACGTATTTTCTCTCTAAGCAAAATATCTCATCAAGTAGAACCATCTAGAGAATATTGAAAGAAATCTTGATGTATTTAGAAAATCCTAAAATGGCATTTGTCTGTGTCGATATCATTTTCATTTTATAATCAATTATGGAAACATATTTTAGGAAGAAATTTTCATTTTTGTGTAAAGCTATGTGGAATTGATTCTGCAAAAAGACGTAATAAATAATGAGGAAAATACTTCAACAAGATTTAGAAACATTAACTAAAGAATTTGGTTTGTGACAACCTTCTACAATCATGGTATGTAACTTTAAAAAGTGCGCTTAAACTTCCAAAGTTTAATTAAATAAGAAAGAAAAGTAATTATCATAACGCAATTTCGAAAATTTGTACATTTCGAAACAAATTCTAAAGATTGTCCTAATTTTAATATCTAAAAATTACACATTAAATATTTAAATAAAATGTTTATTTATTTCTCGGACACAAATTTCCATTATTGTAAAAATTATTGAATATTGTCTCACGGATAAGATTTTTCAATAAATATTTTCTTATAGATAAGACTTTTTATTCCTTTTTGTATTCTCAAATATTACTTTGAAATTAATCAATAGTTTCTATTTAAACACTCGCTTAAAGATGTAATGCAGACACTATGAGGAATCAATAAATTTAAGAAAAATTATTTGTTGATATGGATAGCCTGTTTCCTACCTGTGGCTAAAAATGATACTTTTAGAGAAAGGAACCATAATGTGAAAATAGAACTGCCTATTAAATCTGACTTGACATTTATATACAAACAGTACAATTAATGTTCTATGTCTAAAGACATCCGTAAAAAATATAAACGGTTAGAATGGCAACACATGTTTTAGCATCTCTTTTTGATGAAAGTAAAATATTATTTGACGAAATTCTGGGTGGGGGATCACCTATAAGTAGTTCAGCCTCAGCATACATATATCTAGTTACTATTCGTTTTAGTCATCTTTAATTTTATATGCTACTAAATAAAAGCGACTCGAATGACAAAATCCATTTAAAGAAAAACTATTCAATGAAAAGTTTTACTTATGAACACGGTCTAGTACAAAAGACTTCGTATATTTATATTTTGAGATAGAGGCTAAAAACATAAGCACCATCAAAATAGAATACTTTTATGATAATTCTTATTATTTGTACTTATTGAACTTTTTCAACAGGGACACCATTAATAACTCTGCTTTTTTTGGAGACCAAGTGATTACAATCTTCATTATTCTTTTTTAGTTTCCTAGCTGTCTTTATTGATTCTTTATTGACTGTAGGTTTTCGATTCTTTCTCAGATCACAAAGTCTTCCAATATCTTAGTAAACCGCGACTGTACCAACAATGATGAGCACAATTATTAAATTAACCTTCCGCAAATTTCTCAAGTTGTAGTTTGCAAGGTGTAGATTATTTCAACTTTTATTTTGTTCTTTTTTCAGTTATATTCTGGCGTCTACTGGAAATTTGTTTATTATGAAAAATGTTATTATTTTTGTTCTTTAAGACAGACTCCGGCCTCTGGATATATACTATTGCCTTTCATGCTAAAATCCCATTCATTTTCATAATTCTCAGTGAATCACCATTTTCATTCAGTCAAACCTATTCTTATATTCATCCTGAATACATTCACCCATCATTTGATTGTATCATCTTTATTTCTGTCTTGTGTAGAATTAGTATATGACTGTAGCCTATCTGT